CTGCCCCGTCAGCCTGTCCCGGGCTGGCTGCCTGCCTGCTCCTGGGGGAGTGCCAGCAGAGCTGCTGCCAAGGCTGCTGGGCCCCGCAGCCGGTGCAGAGGTGACCCCAGCCCTGCTCTGGGTCTGCTCTCCCAGCCCTTTGCTGCCTCCTGATGAGTTTTCCCATCTGCTGGGGCCGCTCCATGTGGATTAGCTCTGATGCAGCCTGGAAACTATTTTGGCTGTCATGGAGGCATCCCTGGCTCTGATGACTGAAGGGTTGAAGGAGGACATGGTCATGGTGCTTTTAACTCCTTCCTGTCCTGCTGCTGGCCAGCACAGCCAGGACTGGGGTCACTCCATCAGCATGTGGGGAGGGCTGGCAGGGGCATTGGAAGTGTGATTCCAGCAGGAGATATTAACCTCTGAGTGAATCTGCATGTGTTAGAGTGGCTGGGGCTCACCATGAAGGAGCAGCTTCAGCTGTGGAGGCTGGAAAAGGAGCCGTGGGGGGATGGAAAAGGAGATGTGTGGGAGTCAGAACACTGCAGCCCCCCCATCACTGCATGCTGGGGGCACGTGGGGCCCGATGTGGGGCTGGAATTTGGGTCTGGCTGTGTGTGCTGCTCCCACCTCCCATCCCCACTCCTGCAGGAGGGCCTGGACGGCGTCCTCAAGATCCTGGTGAACCAGCTGAGCTCTGATGATGTGAATGTGCTGACCTGTGCCACTGGCACCCTCTCCAACCTGACCTGCAACAACAGCAAGAACAAGACACTGGTGACGCAGTCAAACGGGGTGGAGGCCCTGATCCACACCATTCTGCGGGCGGGTGACAAGGAGGACATCACCGAGCCGGCCGTCTGTGCCCTGCGGCACCTCACCAGCCGGCACCCCGAGGCCGAGATGGCGCAGAACTCGGTGCGGCTCAACTACGGCATCCCCGCCATTGTCAAGCTCCTCAACCAGCCCAACCAGTGGCCACTGGTTAAGGTAAGGGGCCAGAGGGGTGTTGGGGGCAGGAGGAGGCCGGTGGCCAGGCTGGAGCGAGCCCCTCCTGCTGTTCTGTGGTGGGGTGGGCTGCTGAGGGGCTCGGCAGCTGGTGCTGTGCACGGAGTGATGGTGGCTGCTGCTGCCACAGCCCTGCTCCTCTTGGGTCGTGTTCTTGACAGCAGCTGACGAAGGAAGTGGCTGCTCGTTGGATTTGAAGCTCAGCTTGGGGAGAGGATAAATCCAGGGAGGGGGGAAGCTGAGTCAGCCTGCACCACAGAAGGGAGGGGTGGGACAGATGGGGAGGGGTGCAGCCAGTGTTTCTCTTGGGGAACACGTGCTGCTCTGACCCACAGCTGAGACAAATGGCTCCTTCCTCCTCCTCTCCTCCAGGCTACCATAGGCCTGATCCGCAACCTGGCTCTGTGTCCTGCCAACCATGCCCCGCTGCAGGAGGCCGCCGTCATCCCCCGCCTGGTCCAGCTGCTGGTCAAGGCTCACCAGGATGCCCAGAGACACGCGGCTGCCGGCACACAACAGCCCTACACGGTGAGTCCCCACCCCTTTGCCCTGCTCCCAGCACAGCCTGGCACCCCAGAACCCAGCCTGTCCCTGGGGGAACCCTGTGCCCACACTTCAGGTGGCTGTTCCCCGGTGTGTGAGGGTCCTGGCTGAGTTCTTGTTCCCTGGCAGGATGGAGTGAAGATGGAAGAGATTGTGGAGGGTTGCACAGGGGCGCTGCACATCCTGGCCCGGGACCCCATGAACCGCATGGAGATCTTCCGCCTCAACACCATCCCTCTCTTTGTGCAGGTGAGGGCTGTGGGGACACAGGGGCTGCACTGGGCTCCTCCTGCCCAGCCTGCACGGGGAGCTGCAGCCCTGGGCTGGTGGCCCCTTGCATCAGGACATGCCCAGAGCACAGGGGCTCCTTGCTGGCTGCTTCACACGGGCGCTGATCTCTCCTGACAGCTCCTGTACTCGCCGGTGGAGAACATCCAGCGCGTGGCAGCCGGCGTGCTGTGCGAGCTGGCCCAGGACAAGGAGGCAGCAGATGCCATCGATGCCGAGGGGGCCTCGGCTCCCCTGATGGAGCTGCTGCACTCCCGGAATGAGGGGACAGGTGAGTGCTGCCATGCTGTGCTGGGGACTCTCCTGGCACTGTCCCAGCTGGGGCTCTGATGCTGTGTGGCAGCAGGAGCTGAGGCTGCTGGCCGTCCCTACAGCCACCTATGCGGCCGCCGTGCTCTTCCGCATCTCGGAGGACAAGAACCCTGACTACAGGAAGCGTGTCTCCGTGGAGCTCACCAACTCCCTCTTCAAGCATGACCCGGCAGCCTGGGAAGCGGTGAGCATCCCAAAAAGATCTTTTCCCCAGGGAAACCAGGGGAAGTCAGGGGATGGCCCCATCCTGCTTCCAAAAGCTGTTGCCAGCACGTCCAGCCAGAGCTCAGAGGCATTGTCAAACAGCGGGAGGTGGGAGGCAGGTGGGCTGTGGCCTCAGCTCCTGCGTTGTGGCAGCACCTGGGCTTGCCACCACGTGGCCCCTGAGCATTGTGAACATGAATCCCTTCAACTGTGCCACCTTCTTCTTCCCTAGGCTCAGAGCATGATCCCCATCAACGAGCCCTACTCAGATGGTGAGTATGGCACCAGCCCTCCTTGCCAGGTCCCTGTGGGCTGGGTTCTGGGGTGGGCAGTTCCCTCAGGTCAACAAGCCAGGCTGGCTTTAAAACCTTTTTCAGGTGGCTGTCAGTCAAGTGCCAGCCCAGTCTGCTGGGGATTGGGGGTGCACAGTGGGATGCTCAGCTCCCAGGGAGCACACACTGCTGGTGCCCTCAGGCCAGGGGATGGTGGGGCCCTTTTACAGCATCACATGTCACATGCTGCCCTGGGTGGGGGGACAAGGAGGTGGCTGAGATCTGGAGAAGTCATTGGCTGATGGGAGCTGAGGTTTCCACAACCCTTCCCTGCAGAGCTGGACCCTGGTTACCGCCCCATGTACTCGGGTGACATCCCCCTGGACCCCATCGACATGCACATGGACATGGACGGGGACTACCCCATGGACGCCTACAGCGACGGCGTCCGAGCGCCCTTCGCTGACCACATACTCGCCTAACCCCCTGCAGCCCCACACCAGGTACCTGCCAGCGCACCTGGGACATGGGCTCAGCCCTGTGGCTGAGGGTGGCCAGGGGAGGCAGGGCTGGCCGATGGCACCTGGCATGCTGAGGGGTCTCTGGTGCCACCACGGGGTCCCTGGTGCTGCCATGGATCGGTGTCCCCGTCACCTGTGGGCCCAGGGGAGCCTGTGCTCTGGTCTCCTCCCAAATCCCCCCTCGGTGGATGACGGGAGTTCTCTGCCACTGCAGGTGTTCTCTCCATGCAGAAGAGGGTGGCCCCAGAGCTGAGCATTCGCAAGAAGGACTTGGGAGACAGAAGTGCCTGAGAAGACAAAACTTTTCCATTCCCACGAGAGGTTTTATTTTTCGATTTGTTTTCTTCGCTGTGGGTCTGTGGAGAAGGTCCTTCCTCCTGGGACTGCTTCGAGCACCTACTGCCACATTCAGCATCCAAGATACTGTTTCTGAAGCTTTAAAACACAAACCTTGCACCGTTAGTGATCTTTCATTGGCAAAATAGTCTTTTCTATGAATATATATTTCTTTTTTATTTTTAATATGGTGCCAATGGCTTTTGCCGTCTTTAAGTTTGTGCTTTCTAACTTCCCCACGATTTGTTCTGCGTGTTAGTGTTCTAGGAGAGGAATCTGACATGGAAAAACCCTTTGCTTCCTGCAAACTCCAACTGAATCAGGTCAATCCAGAGTTTGCTGAAAGCAAAGGGTTCATGTCCCAGGACCTTCCAGGGTGTCTGAGGTTTAATTCTTTCCCATCAGCCGCTGGGAGCTGACTTTGTGTCCCTGTCTTGCCAGTCCCCATAGAGGAGTGACTCCAGCATTAGGAACTGTGTCCTTGTACTGATCTTTGTTGCACATTTTAACCCCATTTCCCTTCTCTTTGGTGAGTGGTGTGTTTCCGTCCCCTCCTCCCTTATCTAATGCATTTTTTAAAAGAAGCTTTAGATCTGATGGTGGTTTAACACTCCAGCTGGAAAGGGATGGACAGTTACTGGAGTGTGGGTCAGGAATGGAAGATTTTATTATTTCTGTAAGTTGTTTTTTGTATAGACCAAAGCAAAGAATAAAATAACCCCTGCAGCCCTGTGCTGCCCTGAGCCTGTTCTTCTGTTGGCTGGGGACGGTCCCTGGGGGCAGCCAGGAGAAGGAGCAGCCATCGCCCTCTGTGAGCCCATGGTGAGTCCCTCCGTGGGGCAGAGTGGGAACTTCATTCCCTTGCTTGGCACCTGCTTTGCCTGGACGTGGGCCCAGGCTGCCACAGAGCACGGCAGGATACCGAGGTTCATGTGCCGTGCTCAGGACGGGAGCAAGCAGGGACAAAGCAGCAGGAGCTGGTCTGGGAAGTGGGACTGGGGGGAACATCCTGCCCCAGCTCAGCGCCGTGGCTGCAGCCAACCCCAGTGCTCAGGGAAATGGATCTGCTTCCTGCCAGGGCCCGTGCCAGGACCAGCGATGAGCAAAACAACAGCTGCTTTCCGGGCAGTCCCTGCAGAACCCCGTGTGCTTCCCGAGGGCAGTGGGGCTGGGCTGGCTCGTGGGGTGAGGCTGGGGGCCAGACAGCCCTCGGCCTGCTGCAGGTGCTGCCAGAGCAGGAGACAGTGAGTGACAGGCCTTGGCTCCAGCCCTGTGTGCCTGGGATGGGGGTTTGGGTGTGCAAAGCCTGGACTCCACCTTGTGGCTCTCAGGGGTTGCAGGGATGTTCCTGCTGTCAGATCTGGCTGTCCCCAAAGTGCCAGCAGGTCTGGAGATGCCCCAGAACATCTTCCTTAGGAGGGGTCGGGTCCATCCATCCTGGAGCCGTGGGCAGGGATGGGACCCCTGCATATGCTGGGGCAGGAATGCACATCCCGAGATCCCCTGTCCCACTGTGGCAGAGCTGCCAGGGGGCATGTCCGGGATTTTGGGGGGAAGTGGAGCCAGAGGACACTTGGACCAGAGTAACCGGAGGTGTTTGCGGGGTTCCCAAGGAGCGGCACCCCCGGGTGGGCTCCGGGAGCGGCGGGACGGACTTCGGGATCCCGGCAACCTCGGCCGCGCTCCGGAGCTGCCGGGGAGCGGCGGGGCCGGGAGCGGTGTCCGAGGGCTCCGCAGGCTCCGCCGCGCCGGGAGCAGCGCCCAGCGTGTGTGCGGATCTCCCCCGAAGCAGAACGGCCTGCCGCACCCAAACCCGGCGTCTCCCGCACTCCCGGGGGCACCGAGCCCTCGGCTCCCTCGGTGTCCCACCCGCTGTCCGCTGGCACCGGCTGCGCTCTGCCTCTCACGGTGTCCCGTGTCCCCCAGGCTGCCTTCGGGCACCCCAAATCCCCGGGCCGTGCCCGGCCGGTGCCCTCCGTTCCCCTGGGGTTGTCACAGACGGCGGCTGCCGCAGCCCCCGGAGAATCAGCCCTGTCTCTCCCCTTCTCACGGAGCTCTCCTCGGGAGGTGCCCGGGCAGGAGGGGCAGGACGGCATCGGGCAGGGCAGGGAGCGGCAGGTGCGAGTCTGCACAGGTACCTGGGGCGGCCTGAGCCGGGACCTTGCTCCTTCTGGCCCGTGTCCCATCGGTGCCCGGGACCACCGGCCTGCTCTCCCAGCTCCCGTGGGGCAGGACCCCGGGGATCGGCAGCCGAACGCCGGTGGAGGGGGGACAGCGGGGTCCGGGGTGGATGGGAGCTGCTCTGCACGTGTCTGAACAAGGATTCCCCGGGGAGAGGGAATGTACGTGCAGGAGCCGGGCCAAAAGCAGACGCAGGGCTCTGGCAGTCCCGGCTGAGCTGACTCACCGGCCCGGCTCCCTCCCCGGAGCCAGCAGCAGCGCCGCACCTCCACACGGTGGGTCCCTGTCCTTCTCTGGGGAGCAGGGTCTGAGGGCTTGGGGAGATGTTTTCTGTTCAGCATGGTGCAGGATTTGGCCCCGAGCTCTGGCGGTCCCAGTGCCACGGGGCAGAGGACTGGGGAAGGCTGTGGGTGTGTTTTGGGGTCTGCATTGTGCCTCGTGCCGTCCCTGTGTGCCAGGGGGGAGCAGGGTGCCCTGGTCTGGGTGCTGTGCATGCGGCAGCGACCTTGAGCACCAGGAGAGAGGGCAGCAATGCCCATCCCCGGCCCTGGCATGAGCCTGCAGCAGGGAACGAGGGCCTACTTGTGCCACAGCCCAATGGTGGAGGTGGGAGCAGGACTGGAGATGAGGCAGGGGGCTTGTGCAGAGGCTCCCACCCTGCAGGGCAGGGGGCAGCGATGCCGGCAGTGGCTGCAGCCCCAGCCAGAGCCATTGGAGGTGGCCGAGAGCAGGGATATGCTGGATTTATGGCCCGTCTCATGATGTGTTTATGGTAGGGATGGGGCAGCCACAGATGCAGCCCAGCCCTGCCCTGCACTGCACGGCAAGTCCCTGCTCTGCATCCTGGTGCCAACAGGGTGGAGGTTCACAGATGGACTTTGCTCTTTGAGGTGGAGCTCCCCAGGGCTCTCCCTGGCACTGCTGCCATGTCTGCCCACTGCCGGGCAGCTCCACAGCTCCTTCCCTGTTTGCTCCACAGGCAGTGACCCAGCAGGGACCCCGTGGCGGGGCAGGGTCCTGTCCGGTCCTGTCCGGTCCTGTCCGGTCCTGTCCAGCCCTGGCGCTGTTTTGGTGCTGAGCCCCCCGTGTCACGTAGCAGCCACCACAGAGCAGGTACGCTGACCCCTTTCCTCTGCCAAACTTGCCCCATATTCAGGGGTGGAGCTGAGCTGGAGTCTGCTCCACAGCCCTCCTGTGCCATCGGCAGGGAGTAGGGATGCCTGAGCCCTGGCTATGCCGTCCGGCCCCAGGGCTGGCAGATGTCGCCTCCAGGAAGGTGTTTGTCCTACGGCAGGATTGTGGGGGATATGGGGGTTCAGGATGTGTCCCGGGTCCCTAGAGCATCACCTGAACAGCTCCTTCCCCCCAGGCAGGGGCCAGAGAAAGGACTCTGCTGCCCGCCAGCGCCGCTCAGGGAGCCAGGGCAGACGGTGCCTCTCCCCATGGCAGCCAGGCCCCCACGTAAGGCCAGCCAAACTGGACACCCCGGTCCCACGAGAGACCCTCCCCAGCCAGAGCCCACCCGCCTGCCACCTCCAGCCCAGCCCGGACTCACCTGTCACTGCCTGTCCCCACAGCAGCCCCATGTCCCCCCGGTCAGACACGGGCACACGCCGCGATGCCGCGACCATCACCGGTGGGTAGAGCTGAGGGTGCCAGTGGATGCCCTGGGGGAACTGGAGTGAGGGGGGTGAGGAGCTGGGTCTACTTTGGGCTGTTCCTTCGTCCTGTTCCCATTCTACGGCCGGAGATGAACCATTGTCCCGACATCCTTCACCCCGCGCTGCATCCCACGCCCGCTGTCCCCAGCGCCGCTCGGCCGGGCACAGCGTGGCCAGGAGATGGCAGCAGGACCCTGTCCGCGGACAGCGGGGCCATGAGGGGGCAGCAGGACAGAGCTGGGGAGGGGTCCCTGAGTGCCACCCTGCGGGGGACCCCCTAATCCCTACACTAGTGGCTCTGGGGACAGACCCAGCTGGTGGCACCAGCCCCAAAGCCCATGGGGACAGAGTGGGCTGAGGGGTGCAGGAGCCCCCTGTGCAGCCCACTGCCCCCATATGCCCTCCACCCTGGGCTGACACCGTGTCCCTCTGTCCCCAGAGCTGTGCAGCGAGGATGTCCCCGAGGTGGAGATCATCAGCCTGCTGGGCGAGCAGCTGCCCCGCTACACGCTGCGGGCTGACACCGTGTTCGGCTACGACCACGGCGACTGGCTGCGAGCCCCCAGCGGCCCCTCGCAGCCCGTAGCCCCCCTCACCCCCCAGCAGATAGAGGAGACCCTGCAGTATTTCCGTGAGAGCCCGGGGCCGGCGGGGTTGGTGAGGGTGGTGGGCACAGGCCCAGTGTCTGTGCGGGGTCGTGATGGCGAGGACAGGCTGGGAGCTAATCGCTGATAATGGGATTGACGGGCTGGATTTCCTCCCCCGGAACATCCCGGGCTAATTCTGGGAGCAGCTCTGCTGAGCCAAGCCGGATGCTGGGAGAGAGCCCCCATCATTTCCCGGGACCCCCTGCACGTCCCTGCTGCCCTGGCTGTGCTGTGGCTCACAGGGGTGGGACACTGGTGGGGTTGGCAGAAGGTGTGCCTGTGAATCCCAGGGCTGCTGCTCCCCCAGACAGGACAGCCTGGGGCGGGGCTCAGGGCCCCTGCTGCCAGTGAAGCCCCCAGAGCTGTGGGAACCCCAGGGGAAGATCCCTGCAGCCCCCATGGCCAGGCAGGGGCAATGCCCATGGCACCGTGACGTGGCCCATTCCCAGCGTGAGGTCGGGGTTCAGCGGGGGGCGCAGACGGATTATCTCTGCTTTGTTTCTGCCTCTGGCCTGCGTGTGGCGGGGACAGGATTAGAGCAAGGGGCTGGGGGATGGATATGGGGCAGTGGGAGACAGATGGGGCTGAGGCCTCCACCCACCTGCTCACGCCAGGCTGGGCTGGGGGTAAATCCTCACCATGCCCTGCCTGTGCTTGCAGCCTTCCCCTTCTGGCTGCTCCCCCCTCTGCTTCTGCCCCTGCAGTGACAGTACAAGGGATTGAGCCCCAAACCCTCTCTCTGTGCCATGGGGCAGGGAGCATGCAGCACCACCACCCCAGCAGCCCAGCCCTGCTCCATGGGGCCGGTGGTTCTCAGTCCCAGACTCCTGCAGGTCACAGATGCCCAGGCCTCCAGTGCCATTGGCATGTGCTGGTGAGGAGGGGGCCCATGGCGTCATTCCTTTACTCAAACCTTTAAGCTGCCGTCAGAAATAGCCCCCTGTAATCTGCTTGCACAGGCACAGGGAACCTGCCCAGAGGAGCAAATCCTGGGGCAGGGGATTAGGAAGAAGCAGCTCCTGCCTGTCCATGCTGAGACGCGTGCTTGAGTCCTTGGGGTCCCTGGAGGGACCAGTGGGTGATGCTGGCTGTGTCCCAGACCTTACCAAGGGAAACGCCAGTGCCAGGAAAGGGGAGAGGCTGGGACTGAGGGCACCTGCTCCAGTCCTCACTCCAGAGGGGACTGGTGGTTATGGCAGGATGCAGTTGGGGCCAGGATCCCAATGGGTAGGAGTCAAGCAGGCAAAAATGTGCAATGGTGCGGGGCACCTTCAGCTGCATCCATTCCCTGATTGTTTGGGTGCTAACAAGGAAGGGCACTGGGGCAGGTGACGAGGACAGAGCACGTTGGCATTACCAGCATCACACCCACGTGGCCTGTGCTACGTGCCTGCCAGCTCCTCCATAATTCAGCACACCATGATTTATTCAGTTTTCTTGCTTCTGTGCTGCTTCTGCACCACTGTGGGATTGTGGGGATGAGAGGGTGTCAGCCAGGGAGTGTGGGACGTCCTGGGTGGGGCACGAAGGGGGCCAGGCTCACGCTTGGAGCCAAGGGTGGTGAATGGGGAGGTGGGAGTGGAAAAGCCCCTTTCCTCATCAAGGACCTGGCAGGTCCCAGCGCTGCAATGGGCACTGGAGGGGCAGGGTTTGTGATGTGGGTGATGATGGGGGGTCCAGCCCTGGGGTGGCAGGGCAGGGCTGGCCAGAAGAATGTACCCTGATCCTCATGGGGACCGAGGCCCTGCACAGTCGTGGCTTTGACTGAAGGGCCCAAAATCTCTCCCTGCCCTTTCCAAGGGGCAGAAGCCTCTGTCTGTGACACCCATGGTGTCAACACTGCCGAGTTGCTGCTCAGGGACCCCAGTGTACCCTCAGCCCCTCGTGGGGGGCCTGTGTGCCCTGACTCGCTGGGCTATGAGTTTGGACAAGAGGTGGGACACCTGCACCAGCCCCCAGGGCTGAGCAGAATTGTCCTGGTGGGTTTCCCAAAAAGGAACCCGGTTCTAGGGTGCCTGATGGGGAGATCACGTCCCCCGGACGGCCCGGGAAAACGGGGGGAATGGGCAGTCCCGGGCAGCCTCCGGCACCCCCCGACCCCCGCATCGCCCCCGTTCTGCTCCCGTCCGGCCCCGCCCCCGTCCCGGCCCCAGCCCTGGCCCCGCCGCCGGGGGATGCGCCGGGCAGGTGCGGGGGGACGGGCGATCCTATAAATAGGGGCGGGAGCGGCCGCAGCGGCTCCGCTCAGCGTGGCGGGGCTGGGCACGGCTGGGTGGGCACAGCGGGCCGGGCGGCTGCGGTGGGCTCGGTACGATGGAGATCTGGAGCAGCCCCACCGCCTACGATGAGTTGAATGGGAACGCGGAGCGCGGCGGCGGCGCGGACCCCATCGCCCGGGAGCTGGAGGAAGGTGAGGGCGGCCCGGGTGGTCCCGCCCCGGGGATGGGGATGCGGCTGCAGCACGGCTGGGCTCCCCTGGGCTTGGTCTGGAGCGGCTGGGCTCGGGATGTCCCCGGGGCTGGTCCGGAGCGGTCAGGCCGGGGTCTTCCCTCGGGAGGTGCCGTCTGCTCCCCACCCGTGCGTTCCCTCAATCCCGATCTCCCTCGCCACCCTCTGGCCCGGGCTTGCCGCCGCCCGGTCCCTTGGGGACCCCCAGGGTCACCCCGACCCTAAGGAGACCTGTCCCCAGGCCGGGAGTGGCGGGGAGAGGGGCCCTGCCAGGTCTGCGTGTGCCCGTGGGGAAGGGTGTCCTCTTTCCCGTGGGAATGGTGTTCTCCCCCCCGCATCCCCCGGATCAGGCCCGAGGATGGATGTTTACATGTTTGCCAGCGCTGCAGCCCCCGTCTCCCAGGGCCAGCCGCTCGCTCCAACCGAAACGATGCTCATGCTCTAATTATTTCCAATTAATGGCTCGGGGGCCTGACGAGGTGCAGTTGGGGACCCCCGCGGGGAGCGGGTGCGGAGAGGAGGGGTGAGGCTGGGGCTGGGGTTGGCCCTTCTTCCCACAGACGTGTTTGGGGTACGTGCCCTCCGGGCCTGGGGGCAGCAGCCGGGGCAGTGAGGACTGGACGGGACCGGGGTGGCGAGTGGGGGCATTGCCATGGCAACACACTCACCATTACACAACCCCAGCTGGGGAGGCCTAATGGGATTTGTGAGGCTGAGCTTCTCCGTTAACCCACTTCGTCTGCGCGGCTGGGGACGCGGGTGGGGGCCCCGAGCGCAGCCAGAGCTGCTCTGCCAGGGGAAACTGAGGCACGCACCCTCGGGGCAGCAGAGCATCAGAAGGGGCATGGGGAGCGCTGCGTACTGTGGGCAGGGTGTGGGGCACAGGCAGGGCTGTAAGCAGGGTCTGGGGTGCGGGCAGGGCTCGGGGCTTTGCGCCCGGCTCCCTCCGACCGCGCGGCTCCAGCGCCGCCGTCTGGGAGCGTGCCCGGAGCTGCCTGGCAGCGCCCGCGGCCGCAGCTGGCACGATCCGAACCGGGGGGACTGACGTCTCCGTGCTTGCACCTCCTCTCCCGGCCACAGAGCCAGGGAGCAGCGAGCAGAGGCAGAGCTGTAGCCGGGGCCCGGCCTGACGCGGAGGTGTTGGTGTGCTGGGCAGCTGCCCGTCCCCGCAGCGTCCTCTCCGCAGCTGCCTCTGGTGCTCTGGGGGTGTTTTGTGCAGCTGGAGGGGCACCGGGTGGGTGCGAGCTGCAGCATCCCCTCCCCCAGAGAGAAACTAGGGCAGGGGGGATCTGGGGGAGGGGGCTGGGGACAGACTGGAGAGGACACCGCCTGTGAGCCCGGCTCGGCGCGGTGCCACCCACAGCTATTTATGCTGGAGCTCCAGCCTGCTTTCTGCTGGAGATGTCACCTCTGATCCTGTCTCCGCTGCTGCCCTTCCCCGTCCCCCTTTTCTGGGAGCCCTGCAGTGGGGCTGGCACCGCTCCTGTGCTGAGGCCATGGGGTCAGTGAGAGGCCCCAGCATTTTTCTTGCCACCCCAAGGTGCAGGCGGGGTTGGGGGCAAGGTGTGAGTCCCCTGTTTCCCGTGATGCTGTCACAGCTGTGGGGATCTCTGCCTGTATCTGCCTGGCACTGCATGAGGTGCCACCGAGCAGACAAAAATTCCTTTCTGGAGACCAGCCTGGGGCAGCCTTGGGGGGACAGTGCTGAGCCCCTGGGTCAGTGCTGCCACAGTGTGGGGGTTCACCTTCTGCCCCTCTCCCCCAGTCCTGTGTGCTGAGCGGGTGGTCAGGATCACGAAGACCTACCACGATATTGACGCTGTCACCAACCTGCTGGATGAGGTATGTTGGAGATCCCGCCTGTGTGAGGGCTGGTGGGACCCTGGGGACACAGGGGTAGGTGAGGACCGGGGAAGGGATGTCCCAGCTGAGGCAGACCTGCCCCTTGCAGAAAGAGAGGGACCTGGAGTTAGCAGCACGCATTGGGCAGTCCCTGTTGAAGCAGAACCGGAGCCTGACTGAGCACAATGAGCTCCTGGAGGAGCAGCTGGAATTGGCCAAAGAGGAGGTAACGGCTCCTGGGCACAGGTCTGGGCCTTGTCCCCTTGCATGCTCCCCTGGGGGCAGCTGTGGTCCCCTCAGCCGTGTCCTGAAGCACTTTGTGTCTCCAGATCGCGCAGCTGCGCCACGAGGTCTCCATGCGGGATGACCTTCTCCACTTCTACACCACCACAACGGAGGAGAGCGAGCCCACCACCACCACCTCCACACCGTGAGTGGGAGTCCTGTCCTGCCACTCACCTGGGGCAGAACTGCTCCTGTGGGTTGGGCAGGAGCCATCACCATCCCTGGGGTAGCACTGCCACACTCCCTTCCCTCCCTTGGTGGCTGTGGGTCCAACCCCACAGAGCTTGGTTGCTAAAGATTCCCGGGGGTGGGCAGGGCTCTGAGGGCAGCCCCATCCTGCCCGCGCTGCCGGGTGCTCAGGTCATCCCTGCTGTCCCCAGGCTGCGCAGGCACGAGTCCTCGCTGTCCTTGCAGCAGTACTTCCAGTACGACACCTTGCAGCAGAAACTCAAGTGCTTGGAGGAGGAGAACCAGAAGCTCCGGATGGAGGTGAGCAGAGCCAGTGGTGGATGCCCTTCAGCGCCCACCTACAGCCCGCTCTCTGCGAGGGGACCCGAGCTGCCCCCTCAGGGAGACGGGAGGTCCTGCCTGTCGTGCTCAGCCCCTCCAACGCTCTCCCCCAGGCCACCAACATCGCCACTGAGACCTGTCAGTACGAGGACCAGGAGCAGCAGCTGATGATCGACTGCGTGGAGCAGTTTTGTACGTAGGGCTGGGGGGTCTGCGGGCACTGCCCGGCTGGGCGGGCTGGGTTGGGACCGTGCCCGGCGGTGACGGACCCCGGCCCTCCCGCAGCCGAAGCGAGCCAGCAGGTCGTTCATCTGTCCGAGGAGCTGGCGCGCAGGGCGGAGGACGCGGCACGGCAGCAGGAGGAGATCAGCCAGCTCCTGGCGCAGGTCGCGGATCTGCAGCAGAAATGTCGCACGGTGAGGGTCCCCTGTCCTGCCGGGGGGAGGGGAGTGCGGGCCCAGCCCCTGACCTGGCCGCTCTGCCCGCAGTACGGCTCCGAGGTGGAGGAGCTCCAGCAGCACCTGACCGCGGCCAAGGAGGTGCAGCAGCAGCTCCGGATGGAGGTGAGCCCGGGGGAAGCCGTGGGTGCCCGGCCTGATGGGGGGGATCCTTCCCCGCTGCCCCCGGGCCGGGCTCAAGCTGTGCCCGTGTCCTCGCAGCTGCGGGATCTGCAGGAGAAGTACGCGGAGTGCGGCGGGATGCTGCAGGAGGCTCAGGAGGAGGTGAAGAGCCTGCGGAGCCGCAGCCTGCCCAACAGCACCGTGAGCCGCTACAGCTCAGCCAGCCTCCTGCCCGTGGTGAGTGCGGGGCTGGCTGCGGGGGGGCGTCCCTGATTTCCCCTCTTCTGACACTCTGTACCCCCGTCCCCAGGACTCGCTGGCGGCTGAGATCAAGGGGATGATGAGGAAGAGGACAGACAGCCCCTCCTCAGACTACAAGTGAGTGCTGTGGTGGCCGGCTCACGCTGTGCCGTGGGCTGGGGCTCCGGCTCACCCTGAGCTGCCTCCTGCCCGCAGGAGCTACCAGCGCGTCTTCGAGACGGTGAAGGCCGTGAACCAGGCAGCCAAAGCCAAGTCTTGCTCTGAGTCTCCCCACCATGTTCCAGGCTCCAAGCAGTTGTCTGCTGCCCATTCTGGGGGGCCCAGCACCCCCCACACCAGCTGTGCCGGCTCGGAGGATGCCCAGTGAGTGCTGGGGTGGGGAGGATGGGGCTGCTGCTCCTGCACAGGAGCTGGGGTGCAGGTGAGCCGCTGCTCACAGTGGGGCAGGGAGAGCAGGCTCCGGCTGGGGCCCAGCACAGCAGTGTAGGGCTGCAGCCCTGGGCACCCTGGCGCTGTGCCCGCAGGGCCGAGGGGGCCGGCGAGGAGTCCCGGGCAGCCCCGGGCCGGCAGGACCTGGAGGCGGCCGTGCAGAGGCTGTCGCTGCGGCAGCAGAGCCACGTCTCCGAGGAGCGCTCCTTCTTCGAGACCGAACGGGAACGCAAACTCTGGCGGCTGAGAGATGGGGCGAGCTCCAGTGGCTTCCTCACCCCCGAAGGCAGCGTCGTCTCTACTGGGACCAACTATTCCGGGGGCTCGGACCTCACCGCCGGCTCCAGCTTCTCCCTCGGCTCCCTCACCTACTTACCCGACAAACTGCAGATCGTGAAGCCGCTGGAAGGTGAGGGGCAGAGGGGGTGCAGAGCTGCAGGTGTTCTGAGGGTCCAACACCCCCACCTGAGCTCCCACCGGCTGTGTCCCCCCCAGGCTCTGTGACACTCCACCACTGGCAGCAGCTGGCACAGCCCAACCTGGGTGGGATCCTGGTACCCCGTCCCGGGGTGCTCACCAAAGACTTCAGGCAGCTGGACACAGACCTGGAGGAGGTGTACAGCCTCAATGACCTGGAGGAGGATGATGTGGACACCAGCTCCTTCCAGCTGCTCCCTACCTCAACACCCGCCAAAGCCAAGGAGCGCCCCAGGGGTGAGCACGGGCAGAGGGGACGGAGGGGCCGCAGCCCCCGGGATGTCCCTGTTCTCCTGTCTAGGCTGCCTCTCGCCTCCCTCCTTGCTCTCCCTTCCTGCAGCAGCCTCTCCTCTCCTGTCCCATGGGGACATCCCACCTGTCCCCACGGGGATGCTCCGCCTGCAGCTGCTCAAGGGCCGTTCTCGGGCAGCTGCCCCGGCGGGATGAGCCCTCTCCATCACCCTGGCGAGCCCCTGCTGCCCCCCGGCTGCCTGGAAGGGACCGGTCTGGGACAGACCTGTGCTGGCTGTGCCCTCTGAGCAGGCACCAGACACAGTTGCTGCTGGAGCCGTGTCCCGTGCATGGAGCTTCCAGCCCAGCTTTGGCTGTCCCGCCTGGCCTCCACCTCTGCCCTGTCCCCCTCCCCATTGACCCCTTGTCTCCTGTCCCTTCCAGTGTTCCTCTCTGTTAACAACCTCCCCCAGACCCAGTCTACCTTCACCATCACCACCTGCCACATCCTCCACCCCACCACTGCGATCACCACGGTGACACCCAGGTAAGGCGCATGGCCCCCGCCAGCTGCGCTGCCTGCACCATCCCCCGGCCCCGCTGTGCCCCCAGCTCTCTCCTCCTGCCCCCTGCCCGCCTCCCTGCAGCTCGAGGAAGTGGCAGGCCGGGGGCCACCTGCAGCCCCCGATGCTCTGAGAGATGCCAGCACTAGAAATATCCCCAAATCTGGCTGCTGGGGTGTCTGTGTGCCCGGGGGACTGGGACCTCCTCTGCGCTGCAGCACCCTGATGGATGGAGAGCCTTCCTCGGGTGGGCTCTCCCGGGGGAGCAGCAGCACCCCGGCCAAGGAGCAGCGGGTGCTCCTGGCACCCTGGGCAACCGGCACAGCTTTCCTTCCTCCCCTCTTGGGCAGCGGCCAGGAACTTTTCCCAGCCGGGCTGTCCCTTCGTTAATGAGCACCGGTGATTAGCCCTAATGAGCCCCCCCAAGGCTCGTTGGGGGTTGGTGCAAGCTGGAGTTAACTGTTAGACAAAACCCTGGTGTCTGGAAATTGCTTGTGGAGCTGTGGCTGTGTCCCAGTCTCTCCTGGCTGCTGAGGAGCAGCCCCATCACTCTGGGGTGCTTGAGCAGTTTGCAGCACGGGGGTCTCCTATAGCCCAGGGCTCTGTAGGTGAAGGAGGACACCAGCTGATCCCCACCTCTGCTCTCTTCCCCTCCAGTCTGTATCATGCCGTCGTGCCTTCTTGTGGGCCCTTTGAGGGGCTGAGCCTCAGCAGCCCCTCACCAGAACAGACTCCCCCCACACTGGCGCTTGGTCCTGGACCCCCGAGCACCCCCATGGGACTCTTCAGGCTCTTGCTGGGGCGAGATTCCCGCTTGGCACCAGGGACTGGATCACGGTGGGCCCCCTCACTCCACTGCCAGGACCCTCAGCATTCTGAGTCACAGCCCCCCCGTGTGCCCAGGGGCCAGGACGGACCCCGACCCAGGAGCAGCATCTTCAGCTGGAACCTGGTGGAGAAGTTGCAGCGCCTTGGGCTGGACAAGGTGGTGGCCAGAGGGGAGATGTCCTGTGCCCGGCCAGGGCCCAGAGGGGCCTGGGGCACCCAGAAGTGATGCTGCTGCAGAGCCCCCAGGCTCAGAGTGAGACACATCCTCTTCCTCACCCATCCATGGGGAAACGGAGACAGGACAAGCTTCAGCCTCAGCTCCTGGCGCTGCCCCAGGTCCATCAGCGCTCCTGGCACCAGCCTGGGGAGCTTTGCCCCGGCTGCAAGGACAGAACCTGGCACAGCTCCCCACCTGTGGGGGGTACAGGGGGTGCTGGCTGACCCTGCCCCTGCTGGAGGAGTGTGGACCCTTCACAGGAGCCAGTTTCTGGCAATAAAAACTGTTCCTGCTTCTGCTGAGCCTGTCTGTGGAGCGAGGGGCAGCGTGGCCCGTTTGGGGCTGTCCAGATGCTGCAGAGAAGGGTGATGCTCAGTCTGGGCTCGGGTGTGTCCTGGGGCCACCCACTGGGGCCGGGGGGACACCCCTGCACCCTGGGCTGGGCCCCTGGCCAGCACCTGGACTGGACTGGCTTTTAAAGGGAATGGTGGTTTAACTCTTTCCTGCCCACTGAATAGCAATAGTAGCAGCACCCACAGCTTGGGATGTTTCTGGGGGTGCATCTGTTGCTCCTCCCAGCTGTGTCCCTCTCTCCAAGCTGTGCCCCATCCCCTGGCAAATAAATGTGAATTCACAGAGCAGTTTGGTTGTGCTGTGTCTGCTGCCACGTTCTGTTTGCTGCCCTGTGCGTCTCTCTGGGGGCAACTCCCCACTGCCCTCCCTCCCCGGCTCTCCCCAGCACAGTGAGAGTGCAGAGGCCGTAGTGCCAGAGTTTTATTGTGGGAAAGGACACACTGAATGTGTCAGGGCTCTGCACGGCCAGCCCATCCCAGCAGCTACACAGCACCAGCCTCGTCCTCAGCGCTGCGGCGGCCGAAGTCCATCCAGTCGGGGTAGTAGTGGTCATGCAAAGCCTCCATCCCCTCATCCCCGTGCACAAAGGCCTTGTGCTTGTTCAGCTCTGCCAGGGCAAAGGCAGCAGTCAGAGCTGGCACGAGGGCCAGGCTGTGCCCCCTGAGGGCTGCCCACCCTGAACTCCCAGTACCTGCGAGGACGTGGGGCAGGAACTGGGACAAGAGGTGCTGCTGCTCCTGGGACAGGTCCTTGGGCCAGTCCCGCCGGACCAGGCTGGGGGGGGGCTGGTGGGGGTCCCCCAAGGCACCCGGTGCCTCTGCTGCTGGCCGGCACAGGCAGGCGGTCACTGCGAGGGCGAGGATGAGACCGAGGCACAGCGTCACCTTCATGGCTGTGGAGAGACCGAGCAGGGGTGGGGACGTGGGGGAGCTGCAGCCCCCAAACTGGGACATGCTAGGCTGTGGTGAGGGTGGCCTGGGCACTCAGCCCTGGCCATGGCCAGTTCACACTCTCCTGTCCCTCCCTTTGGGTCCCCAAGTCCCCTTTCCACCTTCTCCCCAGGTTTTCTCCCTCCTTGTCTCCTGGCTGGAACCCACATCCCCATGAACCACAGTCAAGGCAGAGGGATTCATAAGGCTCAAGTCCCTCTCCTTGCTCCTTGCAAGGATGCTGAAAACTAAAGCACACGGCCAAGAGCATCATCCAGCTCCTCCCTGAGCTCAAACAGCTGGAGCTGGGTTCCCATCCCCAGGGCATGGCCCGGCCCAGATCCCCTCGGCTCCTCTTGGTGGGTCATTGAGTTGCTTTGTCCCTCCTATCTGCTCCTCAGGTTTTCTCCATCCCTCTCTCCCAGCTGGTCCCCAAGTCACCTGTGGACAGTGGCAGAGCCCTGTGAGACTCACCTGTGGGTTCTGAGGCTCAGCAGGGTGTCAGGGTGGGTGTCCTGGTGGGTCTCAGTGCGCGTCTTCCTCCAAGATCGCCCCAGCTCAGCCTCGCTTTTAAAGGCACTGCTGGGGCTGCCACACCCCAGGGCGGCTCCAACACAGCCACCCATCCCCGGGGGGGCCCTCGGGCACCTGTGTGTGCTCACAGCCACACAGCCACACAGACACACACAGCCACACAGACACACACAGCCACACAGACACACAGACACACAGACACACACAGCCACACAGACACACACAGCCACACACAGCCACACACAGCCACACACAGACACACACAGACACACACGGACACACAGCCACACACAGACACACACAGACACACACAGACACACAGCCACACAGCCACACACAGACACACACAGACACACAGACACACACAGCCACACAGCCACACACAGCCACACAGCCACACACAGCCACACACAGCCACACACAGACACACACAGCCACACAGCCACACACAGACACACACAGACACACACGGACACACAGCCACACAGCCGGACACACAGACACAGCCAGACAGCCACACAGCCACAGACACACAGGCACACAGGCACACACAGGCACACACAGCCACACACAGCCACACAGCCACACACAGCCACACAGACACACAGGCACACAGGCACACAGACACAGCCACAGA